CGCATCCAGTTTGTTCAAACGCTTGCCCTTGATCAGGAAACGTCCCTTCAGCTCCTACAAACATAAACAGATGACACAAATATATTTGAATTTTTTGTTGAAATTAGATCTGATTATGCATTGAAATATTATATACACTACACTATGGAACTGAAAGATGATGCTTTACTATTGTTTCTCTGCTTACTGTGATTATGTGAGGATGGGAGTTCATGGCTGAACCGCCCTCAGGCTGTAATACTAGAATCACCTTTGATCCTGCCATAGTGTCATTCAGAGAAACTGGCAGAACTTCTCAGTACGAGACAAAGCTCAGGGCTAAAACTCAATTCAAACAGGTCATCGTAAGCAAAAGATTCAAAACCGATCCAGCTGCATGGATTCCAATGTGACATCATTCAGAAGCCCCTCCCACCTCACAACCAAAACAAGCACTTCGAATCCTGCTCGTCTGAACTTGTACCGTCTTGTCATTTGACTTTCAGACGGCAGCTTAAAAGCTTGGGGAGTGTTTTGGTGAATCATCAGGAAGTGATAAATGGTTACGATAAAAAAAAAGTTTCTCCATGTAATTGTAGCTCTACTGATAATCACTTCCTCGATCTTCAGCTATTTGAATTCAAGGATACAGAAGTAAACAGCAAGATTGCAGGGATGACGAGGAAGTCATCTGAGGAAAATGTGTGTTGTGGGGTGTGGTGAAAAGAGATTTTAAGAGGTCATGTAGCTGGTTTAGCTTTAGAGAGCGGTCTCTGTTATCCACTAGGTGGCGATATGTAGAATCAGCTATCGTATGCAGTTACACACATCGTTTCTTTATAATAGAACAAGAACTGGAAAAAAAATTGGCGTTGAAACAAATTTCACTCAAAAATTTCTAGTAAATTTCACAAACAATTACAAAGAAATGACAAATAACAAGTAGAAAAACTGTATTTGTAAAAAAAAAAAAAACGACATTTTTACAGTGCAGTGGTGCAGCAACATCCAAGTGTGTTATTTTTAGTGGTCTAACCTCAGGTCCTGGAAAAGTGTTGGGCATTTGATGCCCCAGGGGTTGAGTGAGCAAAGCACTGCCCAGGATGGAGGTTAAGTGATGGGCCATGATCTTCTGCTGCTCTATGGAGCAATGGTTCTCCAAAGACAGGATCACTGGATACTGTGAGGTCTAGTGTAGCAAAAAACACAAGGTTTTCATAATCCACAATGCTGCTTTTATCAGTCATCACAACATCCAATTGACCTTATGACAGATAAATGACTGACAGCCCAAAAATAGCCAATCAAATTGTCTGTCAAGCTTTAAAGCTTATTGAACTGTCGGACACATACAAACCTCGTTTTCATTTGGAAAACTAGGTACTAGGAGTTTCGATCGTTTCGGTTCTCAAATCAGCTAGTAATATTAAAATGCAAGGGTTTTATCAGACTCATCACTCTTTATGATAATGGCCTGCATTCATTGTTTTGTGTTATTTTCTCGATTAAATAATGTATTATTTTCTTGATTAATTAATGTATAACATAAAAGCACCGCGTTTGGGCTTCATTCAAGATACTGAATATTGTATACAAGATACAAGCATACTGAATGGATTCTGGTGTGAAACATCTCTATGCTCTGTTAAGTAATAAATAATGTGACATGCTTTATTTTAAGAACAACACACAAAAACATTATTTACTTCTTTCTGCATCTGCAAAGCATTCGGTACCCATTTGCCCTGTGTGTTAATGTCAATGTTTATGACATGCTGGCTGTTCAGCTTCTTATTGTATCATTTTCTGCTCCTATTTTCTACATAAAAACCTGATACAAAAGCTTGTACATTCTAATTTAAACATTTTAAGTAATTTGCTCCAAAAACTTTGGGTACCGTTCATAATTAAGTGAGCCGTCTCGCAACATCCTTTTGTTTGATGGACATAGATAGAAAACTCACACCTTGAAAGCATTATTAGTTAACCACCTTTTTCACTCACTTTGAAAGCATATTCTTTGATGGCCTTGATGACATCTTTGAAGAGCACTTTGGATGTGAGCGTATGGCCGTG